AAATGCTACTGTGTTATCAATGATGTATCTCATAAGTGTCTCACGGAAAAGGCCTGCGATGTTTACCGGACATCGCAAAAGATCTTCGAGAATGACAACCCGCAAAACGTTAACACCACAATGCTGTGGCACGTAAGTCGAATAGGACCTCCTCAAATTGATTTCAAGGCATGATTCTGACATTGTCATCAGGTTTGCGCAACTATTGCTCCTAAGGATGGCGGCCGGACACGGTACGTCTCTGGATTTGGCGGCAACGAGTTCAAGGACTCTTGCATCCAGGCTCAGAACTCCGGTGTATGTGCCGACGCCAGTGGTACTATTGGCTCAAAGTGCGATTAATTTTGGATTTTATCATGATACCAAGTAAGAAGGGGCTGAGTAAGCACGGAGTGTAGAAATGATACCATCAGCGTCGACCGAAATGTTGGAGTGATTTCAGCCAGTCAGGTTGTATAGGAGGATTGACTCGGAACGGTACATGATTGAGAAGCATGAGTCTTAGACTCGATATTCACGGCCTGAGATAAGCACGCGTTGTTGCAAAAGTCTTTGACAGACTTTTTTAATGCTGAATGTTTACATCTTACCAAATTTCTGGGCTTGCAGAAGCTAGTGATCATATAATCTGATATTTCTCATGGTATCTCGACTCTCAATCATGCTTACTCTGCAGGTGAGAATGCATTCTTGTCTGAGTGACTGATCCTATCTTCGTGCACCAAGACATGTGCTCAAGACCACATCGTTGGCGGAAAAGTTCGCACGATTCACAGATGCAACAAATTGCCAAGAGGCCACATACCTTCTCCCGACTTTCCTAAAACTAAGATCTTCTAATAAAGGCAGACAGCTCTCTCAAGAAGTTCCGCAGCAAGCTCCATCGTCTTATTCTTCGATGACACTTTGTGATATCCCGCCCATTTCAGGTTTTTACCTACCTTGGGTAACAAAACCTCGGGGTGAAGGGTGAAATTGACTATTACGAAGTGAGGATTGGAACTATCCGAAAAGGTCTCATCAACAAGAAGAGTGAGGATGGTCCGGTCGGAATGTGTCATCACGGCCAACATGTTCTCAGCAATCGTCGATATCAATGATCAAGAACTGAGTTGTCTCGATATCTTAACAGACTCAGTGCAGACTTTTAGGCTCCGACTCTGACGTTAGCCTTGAAGACTAGATTCGTCTTTCAGAAATTTTATGCCAATGACACAGACATTTCGCTGAGGCAAACTAACCTTCTGATCACGAAGCAGGATACACAGGCCAGTGCCAAGCTTTGTCTCAAGCTTTATCGCCCCGCCAGACTCCAGAAGCCAATCGTTCATAGACTTGCTTTTTTCCTTTCTTGAATTGTGAGGTACAAGATAGCGAGTTAGTCGGACAAATCTCCGCTAATTTAACTTGGAGCATAGAGAAGTTTGAAGGGTGGGCAGAAGGTTCGTCGTATTCACGTCTGAGTTATTATAGGCGGTCAAACAGATTCGGCCGATATTTCCACCGCAGATTAGGGTAGAATGAAGACCGCCAAGAGTTGAAAAAGTCCTATGACCGATCAAAGCTTTCATCTTCCCCAATGTCTCGCTGTCCACTTCTATCGTGGGGACTGCTAACATAGGCTTTGCGGAGTACTTTAGCTTCGAACTCTCCAGTCTGACATTCGAATTGGCGGTCAAGCGTTGCTCGAATAAGCATGAAGTGATTAGTGAATCAATACCTGGTAGGAGTTTGTGTGTCTACTTCAAAGGCCGCGATGATTGGCATTACGTGTAGAAGAGAAACAAATATCGCCATCGACGAATCTAGGACACAAGACGAGTGTAAGAGTTTTGGGGCCCCGGTCCCCCCTGACCAGCGCTCAAATTCCGGATTGAAAGGATAAAAAGTTGGAAACTAACGGAACGTTCCATCAAATTCAGAGTGGGAGACGAGGGAAGACGAGGGCTTTCCAAAGGATGTCAAATAGCCACGTGATGACCTCCAAGTTGCGAAATTGAATATTCATGCAGATGGTAGATGAGATGATGAGTTCAGATGACATAAGCGAAACGCTGGTCCCCCATACGGCAGGGATCAGGCCCTGGCTTAAGTCCCACAAATAATGAGGTCAGCTCTTGGCAGTTGACACTGGTCGAAAACGACAGCAAGTCAGTAAGCTCGGTCGCGAATTGACATCACATCTATCGACTGTTGATCAGGTTTCCGTCGACAACGTCGCGATCTTTCTTCCTTACTCGTCGTTCCACAAGATAGTTGGACCGCCTCAAAGGGATGCGCAGATCATCACAATGTCAAACGTTCTCTCCCTTCTAGGCTGGGCCTTCTTGCCCAACGTACGCGATACCTGCCGCACGACCTAACCCCTCCACATTGAGCATCGCAACGACTGACATCCCTCACAGCTAGTCACCGGCTGGGTCCAAGCAATCTACTACGGTCTGGCAATCCGCGCCGGTGATCCCAAGCCTCAGCCCGGAACCGCGAAGTATGCCATCCACCGCCGCCGAATCCACATACTCGTCGTCTCCTTCTACCTCCTCTACACCCTTGTTGAAGCCGACCGCACCCTCCGCCTGCAAGGGACCTTCTACACCGACCTTGACGTCGCTGCAAGTGCCCCCGTCCGCATAATCAAGTCTCGCTTCCGTCGGCTCGCGGCCGTCTACCATCCAGACAAGGCAGGCACAAATGGCGCTGACACTGGCGCCGCCGCTGCACGCTTCATGCACCTGAAGACCGCCTCAGAGACCCTCTCCGACCCAGCCCGTCGCTTCGCCTACGAGCGCTTCGGTCCCGAGGTCGGCGCCTGGCAGGGCTGCAAGACCATTCACGACTTCGTCGCTCGTGGCATTATGCAGGGAACGATCCCGTACTACGGCATCGCGGCGGCTGCTACTTACGGCTTGAGTCTGCTGGGATACCTCGACTGGGGACGATACTGGCGGTGGATTATCCTTCTCACCTTCTTCGTCGCGGAGCTCATCGTTGTTACTCGGCCCGAGATGCCGCCATTCCTAGCCATCTTCAACACAGTACTGAGCACAACCCTGCGCCGCCCACCCTATCTTCAGTTTCAGTTGGTGTCGCTCGCTCGTCAGGCCGCTGTCACGATCTACATCGCCTTCGGCCAGCTCGGTCCTCTGCTGAACTCTCAGGGCCAGGCGGCGCAAAAAGCGGCCGAGAGCTCGGCGGCCGCAGTCGATGAAGGCCTACAGCGACTCGAGATGATGACCCGCGGTCTGGACGGCGAGACGAGCAGGTTGTTGGAGATGGAGATGACGCCGTTTATCGGCGATAAGGAGGCGCTCAGCAGCGTGCGTGCCAAGGTCAAAGATTGGTTGGTTCAGAACACCATTAGGGCGGACCCGATGGTCAGAGATGCGATTGGCAAGCAGTTCCAGAAACGCAGGGTCGATGCACCAGCTGGTGCGAAGGGTAATAGATAGAGCAGACATTAGACGCGCGTGTACTCTTTTGGTAGAAAATCATCATTCGGCGGTCGACACACCACCTCACACTTTACTTGGATGATATTCTCGCTTCCCGCTTGAGATCCGACTGCTTGGCTTTTGCTGTGGCTGTTTCTTGTGCCCCTTACGAGACGGGGACGCGGTCAGACGTTGCCTCTACAACCGGTGAAATCCACAATCTCGGTGATATAGGAATATTTCTCCATAGGCTCAAGGCCGCTTGAGCAGCCAATTAATCCTGTAATTCATAAAGCTGCCCAGCATCATGAGAATTTCCCAAGTGTGGCGCATGTGGCTGAAAGGTGTGGCTTAAATGAGGTTAGAAAATATCTCAGAATGAACCATTACTCACCAAGTCATGGCAGGTTGACCAATAGTACGAGGAAGTCATGAGAACCAAGACACTGAAACTAGCAGTCGCGAACTTCAAGATTCAACGGCTAGTTAACAGCGATTAATTCACAATGGCAGTCGCATCATCATGGCACCTCTTACCACCCGACCTAATCGAACACCAAATCGGCCAAATCGACCTCCTCACAGCAATGTACCCCACAGAGGATGAGGTCTCAATCGACAAGGAATCCGAACAATCGCTACAGCTCCTCAAAACACATATCGAACAAGGCAATGAAACCACAAATCTGTTATTGAGCCGCGCACCAACAGTAACCATAATACTCACACTCATCGTCCCAGAACCGGACCAAGACTCCTCATCGCCAAAACTTTTACAACTAGACATCACTGTACCCTTCTCATACGAAGCCGACGAGCCACCAGAAGAAGCACCCCGTATAAGAGTCCGAATACTCCAACCAGCATGGCTCAACCGCGCAGCAACCGCCCACCTCAACACCCAAATCCCAGACGGCGACGACGACCTCTTCAGCATCATAGACGCAATAAACGATTCAGCAGTAGCGTACCTCGAAGAAGCAAAAACAGCAGCAGAAGCCGAGTCCGCAGTCTCCAATGCTGCTGCCACAGCTGAAGCAGGTCCCATGGTGCGGGTGTGGTTCTACTTCCCCTCCATCTCAACCCGCTCCAAGCGCGACGACTTCATCATCAATGCGCCCGCGTACCACCTCACGGGCTTCCTCTACGCCGGGAAACCTGGATTGTTGTGTCTGGAGGGCGGGTCGCAAAGCATCGACGACTACATGAAGTTCATCAAGACGGAGAGCTGGGGCGATATCCCTGCACATCATAAAAAGGTTAGCGAGAGGCATCGCGAAAAGGACATTTCGAAGAGAGTCTTTGCGGATATGTCGGAGATAACGGACTCTGTAGGTGAGAGGAGAGGACAGAGGGCGAACAGGGGCGATATGAAGGCTGTGGAAGGGTGGTTGGTGGAACGTGGGCTAGGGGATGCTTTTGCGAAGGTGTTGATGTAGATCATGTAGAACAAGAAAGACCGAGGCGCTCGGTGTTCAATCGCAGGTCTTCAAAGCTTGTTTTCAAGAAATCCTGTATATCAGGGAACTTCCACACCTCCTTTATCCTTACATTCAAACAGCCCAACAATCACAACCTCTGCCGACCCCTCGTCTCGATGGGAATCAGACACATTCCGACAAACGCCGCCAAAATCAACGCCCCAGACAGATAAATCGGCGTCGTGACCCCATCCCCGGGCATATTCGCCGCCAACAACGGCGCCAAAAGCCCCATGGCCCTGTTCAAGAAGCTCGCCACGCCGGTTCCGGCCCCGCGTACTGGCGCGGGGAAGATCTCCGGCGTGAAGGCGTACAACACGCCGTACATGATATTCTGGGAGAAAGCCTCGACGCAGGAGAAGAAGAGCTGAGAAGCGGGGGAGGTGCCGAATTTGACAAACATGAAGAGGAAGACGGCCGAGACAAAAGACGAGCAGGCGAGCGTGCCGCGGCGCCCGAGCCAAGGGGACTTCTGGTCGACTAGGTAGGCTGCCAACAGGCTGCCTGGCACCCCTACGGCGGAGGTGATTGCGTAGGTTCGATATGTGTCTGGCGTGATTGGTGTCGCTCCTGCATCTGGGGAGTCCTCGGGCGGAGGGGCAGCACCGCCATGGGAGAGGTACTGCGGGAGGAAGGCGTTGAAGAGGGGATAGCCCATGCCAATTGTCGCCCAAACGAACCAGACCACCACAGTGGCAAGGCCGAGGGTCCGAGTCTTGAAGAGTGGCCGAAGTCGGTCTGCGGAAAACGCCTTCATTCTCTCGCGGAGAGCGTTTGCGGCGACGCCGGACCCGCGGAACACTCCTGAGCGGCCAGCCCTTGAATGGTCTTCATCCTCGTCTGCCACGCCATCGACTACTGCATCCAGGACCTCCTCGGTCAACCAAGTCTTCGCACCGTTGCGAAAGGCGATGCCATGTACGACGGCAATAGCTTCCGACTGGCGCCCCTTCGAGAGCAAGAATTTTGGAGATTCGAACAAACGGAATACGAAGAACCGAACAACAAACATGATGAATGTAATCAGCCCAATAGTCAAAACGAATCTCCGCCATCCCTGTTCGGGAGGCCAGTTGGCAATGAAATACCACGCCGCCAGCGACGAAGACAGCTGCCCGACCGGCCACCACACCGACAGCAACGTCAGTAGACTGCTCGATGCGTCCGGCAAGAATTCGAGGAACAGTGCTCCATCCACTGGCAGATTTCCGCCGACGCCAAAACCGAGGGCTGCAAAGAGGAAGTTCACCCAGCCCCATGTCGGTGCGAAGGCCAACAAAATGCCAAAGACGCCCGTGATGAGAAGCGTGAGGTTGAAGGCGATGCGACGACCCAAGACATCAGAGCCGATGCCCCAGATGAAGGACCCAAAGCAGAGTCCAAGAAATATTGACGACGTCGTGTAGCGCACACGCTGTTCTGAGATGCCAAACTCCGCGGACAGAGAAGGGAGCGTGAGTGCAACACCCTGAAATTGTTGTCAGTACCTTTGGAGACTCCATGGCTGCTTATGGGAATCAGGCTGAAGCTGAACTTACGTGCATCCACAAACTAGCAAACCGGTTAGCATTATCCTCATCATAAGGTGACAGAGAGACTCACTTATCTGCGAACCAGCCAAATCCACAAAGGACAAAGAGCTGCCAGTTATACCGCCCCATGCCAATATCCTGAATCGCCTTGTTGATGAGCTTCGATTTCACTGTCCCCCACATCAGTACCCATCTCGCCGACCCATCGGGTTCTTCTTGAATGCTTCGTCGAAGATCTCAAACTCACACTCATACTCAGTCCATCGTCCTTGCCCACCTCTCCTAACCTCTTTTCTGAGACCCTCGATGGTATACTCGGCGGCGCTCATCTCCAGCATCCCCGCGCTCTCACTCTGGTCCTTGCCGTCATCCTCTCCGTCCTCGTCCTCGTCCTCACTCGGTCGTTCCTCGAATTCGCATTTGCCAGTCCGGGCCGAGTGACTATGCAGGTGGGCTTCTTCGAGCGGTACCACGACGCCGATATAGTCGTTGACGGACTCGGGCTGATCCGACGCCAGGCGCCGGATGATGGAGCGCAGCATATCCGCGGATGTGAGCGTCTTTTGCAGCGAGTGCAGAGTCACAGAGATGCTGTTCGCGCGCCCGTAGTGATCAAAACGCGAACTCAACCTCTGTCACACACGATGGCGATGAGTCTCGGACTCAGAAACGAGTTTCCCGATGAATCCGCCGCTGGTCGTCGTCCTTCTCTCCTCCAACCTCAAATCACGAGAATCGTCCCACGCTCCCCGAACACAGTCTCAAAGCATTCGAGACGTAGAATCCAGGCTCTCGACGGCTTTTCTACATCTTCCGATGGAACAAGAACAAAGATGGGTTAACAGACGCGGATGAAAAGAGTCATGAAATACAGATGATGGTATAATATCAAAAAAGAGCACAAGAGCGGCCGACGACGAGATGAATACGGACGGAACACAGTGTTACCTCTAACCTGGAATGGTCGCTTGCTCTCTGTCTTACCTCCCGGCACACCTGACTAAAAGAAATGCACACCCCGTGCTTTAGCGCACTTAGGTAATCCTCCGCCACGCTCAGGTAGCCCATAGCGCCTTCGGGAACCTGGGCGTGCCGTCAGGGGGAAGCTGCGGCTGTTGTGGAAAAACAGCCGGGGGAGGTTGCCGGTACCTGGAAGGTTCGAGGTCGTTAACAGAGTCGGAGGTATCGGCCGCATAAATGTGTTAGTCCAACACAGGACTTTGAGGATTCGGGGGTCATTGAACGGTTGCATTCTCGGTCACGGGCGGGAAGCAGAGGATCAGCTAGTGTGGGGAACCCTGTCATCTGCACACCTCTCGCATCAAGGCCCGAAGTTTGCGCAATGCTTATCCGCAGGTTCCTACCGATAGAGCAGTGAGCGCTGAGCTCTGTTGTGGACATGCGTGAATGTCGGTGGATGAGAAATCACCGTGGGATGGGTGAACTGAAATACCGTCTATCAGCTGCTCAAAAAGTATTCATCCATGAGCTGAAAATGATGTTCCGCCCATCTGGCTAAACTAGGAGTTGGAATCCTCGGGAAAGAAAGTCTCAATAGGGACTCTATCAATGCCAAACGCCACCAGTATCCTATCCCGGATTCGAACGCCTCGTCTATCCCGCCGTGAAAGCTCATTGTAAGATTCGTCCATACTTCGTATATTGCACGAGAGCCTGAATTCTCAAATCAACTCTCCATCCCCGTCATCCGCTCCATCTTCCTCCTCTTCCCAATCCATAGATGCCGCTCGCCTCTCGGCCTCCCGCTGAACCTCTGCGAGACCAGATAACTCGGCAACAAAGTCCTTCTCCAAAAGCGCCTTCTTGACGAACCCCCAGCCGTCGTTTCGGTAAGCCTCTAAAATCGGTGGGCCACACGCACTACAGCATGGGTACGACTCTCCGCGAATGACCTTGTTGTTGAAGTTATGCAGGTAGCCGCGGACGGTATGAGGCACAAGTCCCAGGGCATGGTCCACGGGGTCCTTCTCGTCTGCCGACGTCTGGGGCGCCGGCGCGTGTTGCTTGAGGGGATGCTGAAGCAGACTCGCGAACAGTTCAACGAGCAGCGCTGACGCGATCGCCGCGACACCGGGTCTGGTTACCGTACATTGTTGGTCCAGGGTCTGATCTTTTTGCGACTGCAAGTTGTCAGTGGGAGAAGAACTTGAGGAGTCACGGTATACTCACGTCGGCTGGTGTGACTACGTCGTTGCAGAAGTAGCAACCCAGTGTCTTGCGCTCCTTGTCCTCTGGCTGAACATCGGTTGGTTCAGCGCCGTGCCGCATCACGACGAAAGAGTCGAAGCCCAGCGCTGCATTGAGCACAATCTTGCCATTTGCTTTGCCCAGAACACTTGGGAGCCATCTCGACTCTCGGCTGTCCATCAGAAGGAAGATTGCGTCGTGCTCGTCTATCAGCTGCTTCAGCTTGTCGTAGTCCGCTTTACTCCTAGCCTCGTCCGTGAACGGGTGGCCCAACATGGGAACCGATAAAACGTGACCCTCGCTCTCAACACCGGGATAGATCCTCTTGAGGGCATCTGCCGCCCGCGTCGCCTTGAACTTTCCGCCTTCCAAGCAGTCCTCGAATTCGAACAAAGGCTGCCGCACGGGATTCGAATACGATACGCGTCCATAGTCCACAAATGTAATCTTCCGTACACCCCAGCCCATGAGGTTTCTGGAAACGTAGCTTCCTAACGTGCCGGCACCTAACAATAGACATTTGGTGGATTTGATAGTATCCAGGTCCAGGTTTGGTGAAATCCTCCATTTCATGAGTTTGAGGTTCAGGTCCACGGACTGATCGGCCAGTCGCGTTGGGTCCATGTACTCCCCGAGGTTGGCGATCCTAGCTCGTAGCTTGCCCTCTCCGTCTCGCTCCCAGCCTGTGACCTTGGGCATTTCAGCCACCGCAAGTGGCTCAACTGGATCCATCTCCAACGGCAGAATAATGCTTCTAGCCGCATGCCTGCTAGATCTGATATCGCGGTAACACAAGATCTGGACCTTGGTCTGCCGGAACCGCTGCCGAACAAGCCAGAGAAGGTTTCGCAGTGGCCATGAAGGGTTTTCGGGGTACGTCGAAGGGTCGACAAATGAAACATATCGGTCCTCCTTGGCAACGTCGTCGAAGAAGCCATTCTCGAACTCTCCGAGGTTTGCAACTTCCCACACATAGCCAAACGTATCGTTGAGGTCGTGGAGGTCGCTATTCGCATCCTTATCCAAATCGCTGACATCCACACCTCTCGCCTTCTTGGCGAGGAAGAATCCGTTCTGCCTCTTGTCGCGGTTGGCTTGCCATGTGCCCACTCGATCGACCAGTGCCGTGCTCTCCTTAGGGTCAAGGCGGCCGATCGGTCCTGTACGCTTCCACTGAGGGTCTGAGTGCAGCGCTGGGAACGCGAACCAGTATGTGAACTTGTATTTCTTCAAGTCGGCGTATGAGAGGATCGTAAAGGAGGAGAGGAGGGAGGGTACGGAGTAGATGGTGCCATCGTTTATGGCGTCCCATACCTGGGAAGGCAATCGTCAGAGCTCGCTCAGGTACTAATGCAACTACGATTTCGGCTTACATGTCTCGCTGCCATTTTCAGCATGGCTTGTTTGTCCGTATTCTTGAAGTCCTCGATCGTATTGACGTTTTTGATGAACCCCTCGGCACGGACATGCTCATCGTTGGGCCTGTTCTCCCCGTCAGTCCCAGCCTGATCTACGTGAAGCAGACCTGAAGATCTGCGAGAGCGCCTTACTGGTCGCTAGTGAGGGCATTCCCAAGAATGGACATCTTGCAGCTCTGGCCTGGCTCGACAGGCAGGGCAGTGTACTGGCCAAGCACGCGGCGCGCCGAGTCGTCTAGCTTGTCATGTTCGAGCTTTGAGGAGAAGAGGGCTGCGTAAAACGGCAATTCGATCTCGGAGGAGAAGGGCGCATATTGGATTGCTGCCATGGTGGACAAGCTGTGGCGGACGCGCGCTTTTTGGCGCTCGTATGGGGAAATGCAGGCAGTCTTCGCGATGGTTTGCGCCTGGACTCGGTATTCGGGCTATGCTACGATATTTACTCCAGGAGAACGTTGTAGCCCTTAGGTGTGTTCCGAGGATTTGGGTATGTAGGAGAATAAACCGAAAGCAGGTCGCGATTTAGGTCGAAATGACTCAAAAGCGTAGAGGGCTTAGGTTCAGTATGACGGAACAGGCAGGTCGCAGTTCCGTATAGTCTCCGGACAAAGCGGAGGGGTCCGGGCGGTGTCGCTGTGCCTGAGGGATGCTCGGAAATGTCAAGTTGAAAAGAGTCACGAGAACAGGCAGTCAAGCGGCGGCTTGTCGGAGTCAGGAAGTCACAAGAACAAGGCTGGTGAGAGCTTCCTTTGAGGGTGAGATGGTTGTCTAACAGGTGAGGCATGATAGGGCAAACACCTTGGGCAGGTGCCCGTTCGGGTAGCTTCTCCCCCGCCAGGCTGCCCACCTCAGCTGGACGACCAAAGGTGGGGGACGGGAGCTCGCTCGGTGCCACGGGAGATGATTGTGTCATGCTCTGCAGGTCCCGCCGGCTAAATATCGGAGTAATTCGACCCGACGTCCGCGGGGGACACCCAAATGATCTGGCCCGAGCTGCAAAAACGGCTTTACGCGTGGAGACGCGTTCATGCAAAGAATTCAGATCGCGACTTTTCCCTTGGACACTTGTTGCCGGGTTGGTTTTCAGGAGTTTACGCAACCGGCAGAGCTGCACATCGGAGGTTGACGATCGACGGATAAAGGCGGACTCGATCGAATTTTCCGATTTCCCCCTTTGAGGTGCTTACTCTTACAATAAAATCTCGTCTGGTACGGTACCTGGGCCAAGATGCTGATTGGAATCTGTGGTGGTAAGTCGACCGACTCCTAAGTCAAAACTCAATCCACTTCAGCAACTGCGAACATCATTCTGACAATCGTAAGGCATTTGTGCCGGCAAGAAGAGCGTTGCTCAATATCTGGTCGAGCATCATGGCTTCAGACTGCTCCGCCTGACGGACCCTGCCGCAACTCCACCCCGGGATGAGGCTCCGGTCTCCAAACCTGACCCGGTGCCGGAGCCCCGGCCAGAGCCGGAGCGAGCTGACCCGCAGTTCACCAACGGCACCAATGCCTCCGGTTCTCAGCAGCAATCTTCTTCAAAGAACAAGAAGAAGAAGAACAAGGGAGGGGCATCGGGCTCATGCTTCAACTGCAACGAGAAAGGCCATACCAAGGCTGAATGCCCTCATCCTCAATGGGCCCCTGAAGGGAGCATAGATACCGCCGTGGCTATCAGCAGCAACGCCGACAGAGAGCCAAAACAACAGCAGCAGAAACCTGCGTTCTCGCCCGCTCCCCTGACTATTTTGAGCGGACAACCGCGAACCAACGGCATTCACTCTCACTACCCCAACGAGCTCGTCTTCTCTTCCGCCGACGCCCTGCTGGAATACGTAACTACCCGATGGCAATCACGCTTCGTCACCACAGACGTCCACAACGAAGCCATCCTCGACATCCTCTCCAGACGCCCCTTCTTCATGCTCATCTCCGTCGATGCTCCCTTGACAGTCCGCCACGCCCGCTTCCGCGCCCTCCACAATCCCCACTGCACCCTCGAGTCCTTCGCCCTCGCCTCAGACACCCACCTCTACGACCCAAAACAGGGCCTGCAACCGCTCATCTCGCGAGCGACCGTCCGCCTCCTCAACACCTCCTCCTCCATCGCGCACCTCTACGCCACGCTCGGCAAGCTCGACCTCGCCAACCCGGTGCGCCTCCGGCCCACCTGGGACGCCTACTTCATGTCTCTGGCCGAGCTCGCCTCCCTGCGCTCGAACTGCATGAAGCGCCGCGTCGGGGCCGTCCTCGTCGGGCGCGAGAAACGCGTCATCTCCACCGGCTACAACGGCACGCCCCGCGGCCTGCAGAACTGCTCCGACGGCGGCTGCTCCCGTTGCAACTCGGGTAATTCGTCTGGCGTCGGCCTGGCTACGTGCCTGTGCATCCACGCCGAGGAGAATGCCCTGCTGGAGGCTGGCCGGGAGCGTATCCGCGAGGGCGCCGTGCTGTACTGTGATACTTGCCCTTGCTTGACGTGTAGCATCAAGATCTGCCAGGTCGGCATCGACGAGGTGGTGTATGCTCATGGATACAGCATGGATACGGAGACGGCAGCGGTGTTCCGGCAAGCGGGTGTCAAGTTGAGGCAATACATTCCGGTAAGTTTCTTTGAATGATGCTTAGCATTCGTTGATCCAATACTGACAAATTAACAGCCTGCCAATGGATTGATTCATCTTGAAAATTTAGAAAAGATGGAGTTGTACTAGAATCATCATCTTATAGGAGCTCAGAGAGAACCTTGATGGCTTAGACGGGTTTAGAGTAGCGCTATCATCTCATACACTTTTTAAGCGTTGGGCATCTTAGGATGATGAAGAGAACTGTTACGAACTCATGAACATGAATTCACGATTGAGGCGCTTTTCACACACTGCAGTGCATTGTGTCATGTAGTCTGATTGATGTATAGAACGCATTTATCACCTCAGACAAAATTGGCTGGGCTATGGTGAAAAACGTTACTTGAGTGGCTATTTCAGCAATAGTCCCCTTCGACAAAACTCAATTGCCGACAGTGATAGGCCTTTCGACGCATTTCAACCATGCCGATATGCCGACGTTCAATCGGCAACCGGCAACTGTCACCCCCAAATTCCCGCAATTGATCTGACGATTACGGATACGGCGAGGGCGAAAGTGGATCCCTGGAGAGAGGTCGTGCAACAGCGCAACCCAGGCTTGGCACTCTCACACAAACGTCGCACCACGAGAGTTCCGTCAGAAACCTGTCTTGTTTCACCACAGCTGCCCATGTGCAGTGTAGTTGGCCCCCAAGGCCCCTCCCAACATAGAATCTCTGGTCTCATCCCACCTCTTCCCACCAGTCTCTTAGGGGGGCCACGAGTGGCCCGGGGGGCTACTGAGGGGGAAGGGGAGGATTGACAGGGCCCGCGTAGCTTCAGTGACCCCCCGTCCGAACAGTGAGCGAATTCTGAAGGATGTCAGTGGGTTTGAGAGTTCTGTGAAAGGTCGCTCACCATCCATGAGACGAAGATCTGACAGGTCGAGAGCACCGCGACGCGGGCAGTCAGAGTTTTTGGCCGCGTTGCCCGTCCTTTGCAGCTGTACACTAGGACCTTGTTCCCCTCTCAGGCTGGCTCCCTCGCGGCGGGCATGCCTGGACCTTTGCCAGGGCTGCAGCGCTTTAGGCCTGTCCTTTTGGGGGATTGGTCAAAACATGTGAAACGGACTGTTGCGGTTATACTTTTGACACTGACGCTGGTTTCCCAACAGTGTCGAATTCGTCATCTGGCAAAACTTCAGATGTTCGCTTGAACGGCATGTGGGCGACCGCACGTCTCTCCAAAAACCTCCCGGGTCTATGAATGATATATAGGCAGGTCAAAGTTCGTGCGTTTCCTGTGGTGGTTGTGTGTCAAGTTTCCAATCCAGATTTGCTTCTCTTCAATCCAGTTAATATTACCATCGACTTATAATACCACTATCTACAATTCGCTTTTTCAAGATGCAGCTTCAATCATTCTTCGCTGTCGGCCTGGTCGCCGTTACTGGTGTGAACTCTCTCAGCCTCTCAGGCGTAGCCCTCACCGTGGTAAGTAGTCCCAAAATCCTTCCCGCATTCCACGCTGCACAAGACGCTCTCCCCTGCATGTATCTTTCATATCTGAGCCGTGTCACTAATACCATATCCCACAGGCTCCCGTTCTCGCCCGGGCGGCGGTAGCCGACTTGCCCGATATCGTCATCAAGAGACAGGAGCTCTCCAACGCCGACCTCGTGGCGGCCGATCTTGAAGAGGCAGGCGACCTTGAGAGGCGCGTCTCCACCGAGCCTGAGGACGAGGAGGAGCCCGTGGAGGTCGTGGCCAAGAGAGGCGAGCAGGCCGCCGAGGAGTTCTTCGCTGAGGACTTGGGAAGTGATGCGGATGAGTAAAGAGAGTTGGTTGAAGAACTCCACGAGGTCACCGATTAATGAGAAAAAAGATTTCCCATCCTTGGTGTCGAGCAACAAGTGATGTCTTCGAAAAGATCATGCGTTGCAGATCTGCATTCCCGGAACTAAGCTTGGTGAAGAGTTTCCTCTGAATCCAGTCTACGTGCAAGACTTCAAAGCCTGTTGAAAGCCCAGTATAAGCACATGGTCTGAGCCGCCATTGGAGTCTTGGCGACAAGCGGACGAGCAAATGCAACCATTATCCAGACTCAAGTCATAATGTTACTGGTTGTCTATTCAAGTGTTAAGATGTAGAGCCAGGAATGTGTACCAGATTCACGTACGTGTCGGCCGAGACTTTCTTCGGCCTGCCTTTCCGGGGTGCTACCTTGAAAGTATGATCTTTATTGTACCGCCGAACCGTCGATGCGACCGCGCCGAGCGAGCAGCCGAAAATCGCTGCGACGTTGCGATAGCTTCGGCCGCCCAGAACAAGAGCAACAATAGCTACTCGTTCCTGTTCTTTCAGTTCGAAGCCAGAACTCCGTTCTCCTCGAAGCCGGGCCGCGAAGGCGCGCAATTCGGTATCGGCGTTCATTTAATTATGGTCAAGAGCGTTTGAGGTGAACTGAGGAAGACGCGTCAGGACATGCCGATGGGCAGGCGGGGTGTTCTCAGACTTTTTGGTCGCCCCACTAGAGAAATAGGGCCTTTGCACCATTCGAGGGAACGGACTTTACTGGCCTTGCCCGAGTATCCCAAGTCATTGTGGTGTTTCGACCTCAACTTCTCGTAAGTTAGTTCAGGATAAAGATTTCGATCTAGAGTCAGGGAAGTCTCCTAGGTCAAACGTTTCGACTTACCCATCTGAATAGTAGTCGCGGAGTGATCGGGCAGAGGTGACTCAAGCGATAGAAAATCCATCGTATAAGAATAGTGTGTTTCACAATGTCCAACGAGACTTTCAGCGCTGTGAGAGATTCAGTCGCTATTTTTCTGTAATGCTGTCAGTAACTACATACTTTGCATGGGCGGGTCCAAACGCTGTACTGGCGGAGTTGTATCGTTTAGTCTAAGAAATGCTTGAACAACGTTCGAAAAGTCCACTCGTTCAGTCTCTGAACAGGGAGGGATAAAGATGGTATAGAGCTTGCCACCCAATAGTCCTAATCTCCAGCCATGGTTGCGAGGTAAGTGAGATGAGGCGGGCCAGACGCAGCCACCACCGCTTACAGAGGAAGATCGATTCCGGGTGACTGTACCTGACCTATGGAGAAGCTCGAAAGCTGGGTTGCAGCGCAGATCTCGCATGCAGAAGGTCACAAACTGTATCTTCTACAGAATATGTACCAGAATTAAGGTCCTTACTTCGACGCCATAGCCATGGGAAGCACAACACGCTGCGCATTAACCTCTTATCCAGCTCGGCTCCGTCTCCCTGCGAAGACATAGTAGCCACAGTATTTACAGCTACCTTGTGTTGATAGGTCTGCGAATGCCCGAAGATAAATTATCATGGCAACAAGCGCACTTGATCACTCTCGTACTTCGCTTTCAATCTCCCGTACAGCTGGCTCGTGGGTCGTCGCACGAGCACGACATCCACGAGAGACTGAGTCCAAAAGACCTCGTCCTCTGATCCACGCGTCACCCTTCAAGTCTTTGACGCGAGATTGAATGTTACTAGTCGTGAAAACCACTTCCTCTCATGCCACTTATATGAAAGACAGGTTGTGATCATGTTCGGTATCAGATCTGCTATCGGGCAAGCGCAAGTTGTCAAGATTCAAGCTCCGCCATAGGATGACTTAACCGTAGCGAATACGTTGTCAACTCTCACTTATACGAGACCAAGAAAACTCCCAATCTTCCATGTTTGTCCATAAATGAATCCTTGCCTTCAGCCGATGTCTCGATATCCCAGCAGTGTTGCCGTCACTTACACCGAACCCTCGATCACCCATGCGGCCCCTCCACCACTACCACCACCACCATCATCGCCACTACGCACCATATGCCTCAGAATTGTCACCTTCTCCGGAAGTGTAGCGACTCTCGCCCTAGCAAACATGATTGAAATGTTTAACAACATGGACTACACCCTTCTCGAAGCCTACCCCTCCATCGCACCTCAAATGGGTACGGTGCCAGCATCGGCCTCCTCTCAATGGCCTGCGCATCCTCAAGCAACTCGGATGCTACAGGGAAGTCCTAGAGCCGAGCTGGCGAGGGGACTGGCTCCATCTCATGAAATGCAGAGAAGTCGGCGGCCGGCGCCTACGTTCCTCAGGGCATGTCGCAATCTCCGAGCATATGCAAGAAGAGAGATGTTACCTCCTCCCGTATAGTTGCTGTCGTATCCACGCAGCGCATGTAGATACTTGCTTTCAGGGCCAACCAGTATCTATGGATGGATAGACCGAGGCGCCTCCAGATTGCATGCGAAAGCCGCAGTTACAGGAAGAAAGCGCTCCCGAATCAACGCGCAGTCAGCGTCGAGATGACCGAACATGGGGTGACGGTTCTCACCAGAGATCGCTGATAGTTCTGTTATTTTGAATTTTACGGGCATCATTCCATCTCATTACAGTCAAAGGCGACGGCGGCACAAGAGTATCAGCAGCACACCTGATCAACGCCCTAACCAAGCTCCCACTCTCCTTCAAATCCTATACTCCTCTGACTGAAGTAGCAATCAAAGAAGCTCTCGCCAACCTGTACGCTTTCGGATCTCCGCGCGTATAACAGAAAAACGCTCGTCAGGCCGTCGCACAAGCTCCTCTACCTTGATCTTCCCTCTATCAGAGTACCTCTTCCGATGATTAGATCCCCAACCGGGCGACTACCATCTTTTTGAAGGAGACAGGGGCGTAGAACGTCTCTGGACCGCGCGTGGAGGTGGCTGCTGGTCGTTGAGAGGCGCATAGTCTATGAGGAGGTGCCGTAGGGGGAGGGGACAACCCGTTGGGGGCAGAGCATATGGTCCGGGATACTCGAGTCGTGAGTGTTATCGGAGGGGCGGCGGTTTCTGCCACGAAGGAGGCTGGGGGGGCAGAGTTTCGGTATGAGATAGATAGTTTCTTGCAGTTATTTCCCTGATAGGTGGCTTGGATTATCAAGTGCTGTCCGACCATTCATTCCAAGCATGACCTACCTCACTACGGACGGAGTCAGTTAACCGCTTATCACGAACTATCTTAGCAAAGCATAGGTCCAACTCACATACTTCCCACATATATCTACCATGCAGCCTCAAATTCCATGCTCCAAAGTCGATTCCCATCAAAAATGTGAGCCCTCTGTAACTGGTGATGCAGATCCCTAACGTGGAATTACGAGAAAAATGCAAAAAGAAAGGAACAAGGGATGGGGCTGGTGATAACTTACTCGATAATTCACGCCCCTATTCGGATTCGAACAGCGCGCCCCTCAGGCCAGCACGGCTTCATTGGAGTATTTCATTTACTATCGACTCTGCGTCAGAGTCTAACCCACCCGGCCAAGTGGCCGGATGGGTGTGCTGGTGACAGAATGAGGTGAATAGGCTCCTTGTGTAAGGTAGGGTGCTTCAGCCATGGAAGGTAAGGTGAAGGAAGGTGGGAAGGTACGTCGGGTCACGTGTACAATTACCAAAGATGACCGGAGGAAGGAGAGGTCTCAGGGAAGAAGGAACGACGTTGAGCTTCCAGACCCGGGACTCCACCGAGCCCGGGCCCGCAAGATCTCCACAGCGATCCCCGACACCACCCCCACACCATCGGCGGTACGGATAGACAGCTCTAACCTAGTCCCCCCCAAACCCCGCCAAGCTCCGAGATCAACATTGGCAGCATCTTGGCAATGACCCCCCGCCCGCATCCATCCCCGTTCCCCTCCGTCTCCGTCTTCATGCCATCGCCCGTCTCGGGAATCCGCAGCAGGCAAGATCTCTTCATCGCACATGTAACCCATCCATTGCATTCCATGGTGAGATCCAGACACTGTCTGTCGCCTTCCGCTGTCAAAATCCCATCCAGCTGCGCCAAGGCGGCACTCATCCGCACACTCAAATCACACCACCGGCACCACACACCCGGACACACCAAGACCGACGACCGAAGCTGACATAAGTCCAGAAATCCCGAGCCTAGGGGAATCGCCAGATTGGGGGCGATGCGAGCTGAGGTCACACCACTACCAGACGTAGCATCCGCCCCTACCGCAGTCCTCGGCATTTGGCGACTTTGAGGGTTGCGTCTAAGCAGGACTCTAATCACCTTAGCCACCTCGAGTCCCGTCCCAATAGTCGCGTGCTTGCTGGTGTGCAACGGGATTCCGCTACCTCCGGCCGACTCCTGCACAGCTCCTCCCACTTTCCGCTGATAGAGCGCCCCGAGATCCTGCTCTTCTCTGCTCTGCTCCCAACTCACCGCGCAGGAAAATATTGCTTACTGCATTGCATGCACCTTAGGTCATAGGGCTGAAAATGTGTGTGAGCGGAAAACATCATTACTTTACTTGAGAAATTTGACGGAAAAAAGAATAAGGGCGATGATATCCTGCCAGCACCTGCCGATATCCTGCCCCCAATTGTGGCTGCGGCCGCCCCTGCCTCCGACCACGGAGCCCAGCTGCCCATACCCACCTACTTACCTACTCACTTACCTACCTACCTACCTACCTACTTACTACTACTTCGTTGACCTTGCCGTCGCTGCCGCTACCGCTATTACTAATTAAAGCTATTCTTAACGTTAATATATTATAAAAAGAGAATAATTACGAAGTTAATAATCCTTTTATTTATTAGTATATTATTAATTATAATAAATACGGTTATATAGAGTACGACTACTTATTTTATAGCTAGTACTTTTTTAGCTTACTTAAAGTTAGAGTAATACTTAACGAGGCTACTTACGAAGCTAGCTTTATAATCCGAATTATTTAATATAAACCCTTTATTAGGGCGCTAATTATTATTACTTATTATTATATAAGAATTAATATACCGGCGTTACAAATTAATATACCAGCGTCGCTCTTATACTAATATCGCTATTCTATTTTTTAATTAGTTTAAAAAAACAGTACCTCTTTATAAAAGTAGTAAGGGTAACTATACTAATATAGCTATTCCTACTATCCTCTCTAACCTAAGCTCTAGTTTAAGATTTCTAAAAATAAGAATACTACTATAACTTACGTACTCGTTTAGAACTACCGCATTACCTATTTAAAATTTATAAATCTTAAATTAATTAGTAATATAAGCTTTTATAAATCTTAAATAAGTAAGGCTTTTTCTTATTATATACTTAAAATATATAAAAAGTAAATTATAATAACGTTTACCTAACTACCTCTTTTAACGTAGTTATAATAATTTATTATTATTATAAACTATTTTTTACTAGCTCCGTTTTTTTTAAATACTAAGCTATATTAACTATTTACTTATATAATTCCTTATTATCCTCCCCTTATTAAAAACGCTAAACTAGCTCTTTATTTATTATTAAGATAAGCTCGATATTTAGTTTTAACTTAACTAATTTATTTTTTTTATAAGCCTAGTTAGCGTCGATTTATTTTTATTCTTAAGTAGGTAGCCTCGCT